GGCTTGTATGATGGAATAATAAACAAAAAGATGCCTAAGGACCTGTAACACCATATTTTCACCCACGATGACCCCACCCCATATGCAACTACTTTCGTAATCTACTAAATAAAATGGAAGATGTCTCTAATGATGCATGTACTCCAATGGGATCCCCACATTTCCCACAGAAGCGCCCCAAATTGTCATTCACATTTTGTAAAATGCATGTAAAACTTTCTTGACGTGCAACCCAACAGTGAGATTCCCTCTAATATACAAAAATTATCCCCCAAAAGATTTATGAGATTTTCCCTATAATTCCTCTATGGGTTGCACAACAAATCTTGTACCCACAAATGACCTCAGAGGAGTCACTGTGTGGAGTGGATGGTGTGGTACTCCTCCTGGATCGACCTCCTCAGGACCAAGGCCCCCATCCCCTCGCAGACCGGAGGATAAAGGGCCGGAGTCATGATGACTAAGGAACAAGGGTAAGAGGAGGGACAAAGACCTGAGAGAGAAAAGGTTCCGGAGTTTGGGAACAGAGAAAAGTCAAATGTGACTCGGGCAGAGTGAGCCATGAGAAGAGGGTGAGCTCCCCGGAGGAGGACAGAGACACTGGCAGAGGACCTGGTGACATACAGCTATGTGGCCTAAGTGAGGAGCCTAGATTTTTGGAGGGGGTGGGAATGGTGGGGGGTGGTAAAATACACATATCATAAAAATTACTATTTTAACCTTATATTAGTGTACAGTTTGGTGACAGTTTGTACATTCACATTGCTGTGTAACCATCACCACCATCCATCTCCAGAACTTTTTCATCTTCCCAAAACTCTGTACCACGAAAGAGTAATTGCCCTCCCTGCCCTAGCTCCTGGCAACCACCACTCTACTTTCTGTATCTATGAATGGGACCACTCCAGGCACCTCATATAAGTAGAATACTACAATATTTGACCTTTTGTGTATTTCCAATGTTTGTGTGCATTATGGATTGTTTTAAAATTTTCCTTTTTAAGGCTGAATAATGTTCCATTGGATGAATATACCACATTGTGTTTATCCATTCAACCATCAATGGATATTTGGGCTGTTTTTTTATCTTCTGACTATTGTGAAGGATGCTGCTATGAACATGGGTATACAAATATCTGTATGGGTCTCTGCTTTCAATTTCTTTGGGTATATACCCAGGAGTGGGACTGCTCGATCATATGGTAATTCTTTGACTATCTATTTGAGAAAATCACCATACTGTTTTCCATGGCTGCTACATCATTTCACATCCTTACAAGCAATGCAGTGTTTCAATTTCTCCACCTTCATGCTAACATTTGCTATTTTCTGGGGTTTTTATGATACTAGTCATTTCAATGAGTGCAAAGTGGTAGTTCACTGTGGTTTTGATTTGTATTTCTGTAAAAATTAGTGATGTTGAGCGTCTTTTCATGACTTTATTGGGCATCTATATAACCTCTTTAGAGAAATGTCTATAAGTCTTGTGCCTATTTCTTAATGGTTATGTTTCTGTTGGTGAGTTGGAGGAGTTCTTTACATATTCTGATAATAATCCTTCATGACATATATTATTCACAAATATTTTCTCCTATTGCATGTGCTGCCTTTTCACTCTATTGATAGTGTTCTTTGACACACTAAGTTTTTTTTTTGCTGAGAAAGATTCACCCTGAGCTAACATCTGTTGCCAATCTTCCTGTCTCTTTTTGTCTTCTCCTCTCCAAAGCCCCAGTACACAGCCATATATTCTAGTTGCAGGTCCTTCTAGTTCTTCTGTGTGAGCCACCCCCACAGCACGGCTACTGACAGTGCGGTGGTATGGTTCTGCACCCAGGAGGTGAACCTGGGCCGTCAAAGAGGAGCATGCTGACCTTTAACCACTAGGCCATCAGGGCTGGCTCTGATGCACAAAGTTCTTGATTTTGATGAAGCCCATTTATCTATTTTTTCCTTTCTTACCTGTGCTTTCTGGTGTCATATCCAGGAGCCTGGATTTGTCCTGAGAGTGACAGGAAGCCAGTGAAGTGTTTAATGTCAGCGATTCATGTGGTCTACTTCAGATTTACTCCTGAGGCAGACAGAGAACTCAGGGAGACAGTCTCTGATTCTGAGCCTATGCTCTGCCTCTTTCCTAGTAGTTTTCATCACTCTTGTTGGGCTGGGACTCTTCTAAGCTTCTAATTACAACTGGTCACCCTCTTGTACAAAAATGCAACATAGACACACATGCGGTACTGCCAATCATTTCAGGGATCACTGTCATTCAGAATTCCTGGTCTTGTACATCATCTCCATGTTGCAGGTGGTTCACTGAGGCCCAGAAGGTCATTCGACCAAGTTGCCTTGAGAACATCTGAGTTGAGTGAGAACCGTGTGTAAGCGAATTATGAAAGGGTGGCCTAGATGAGGCAGTGGGCAGTCTGTCCTTTTCATCTCACTCCTTTCTTAAAAATTTTAGGGTCACCTTCAATATGCCTGAGCAAAAGAAATTTCTGTGGTTTTAATCACATTGATCCCAAGTATTTACTTCTTCTTTTCCAGGACATTACAGTGAAATATTTAAAAAATATAAAATGATGAACACATATGTTTTGAGGCTGAAAACTCTGAAAAAGAGTTAGCTATGGAAATAAGCTCAGGGCACATTTCTTTACCATGAACAGATGGGCTGTTAGGACAAAGTTTCAAGTCAACCCAGCCCATCTTTCAACATTTTCAGAAAAGGGTCAGAGACTTGAGAGAATCATCTACTTTGTACTTCACAGCTCACTAATTTGGTAAATCACAGAAAGGGAAGAAAAGAAGCTGTTGAATATCAGTCTAACTCATTAAACTAGGCCCTGACTGTGAAGATCACAGACATCCTTACCAAGTGCACTTGAAATAGTCTAAAATTATTTACTAAGCACCAAAGAATATTCCAACATAAGATAAGGATAGAAAGAATACAAGCTTATAATCTGAATTAGACACAAATATTTAAAAGGGAAAACAATTTAGGATTTTTTTTTAATCTAATGACTTCAGAGGTAAAAGTTTTAAAAAAATTGAGACTACCTCATGTTTACAAAAGAGTGATAAGAGCTAGTTATGAGATGTCACCAAAGCTTATTTCAAAAGTTAGTAATTATTTACAGAAATGCAAAAATTCAATATACTAAGATTTATCTCAATAGGCTTAAAAAAATGAGCTAAAGGTAAGAGAGAGAGAAAGAAAAAAGAAAATCCATTTAACAGGAAAAAAAGCAACACTTTTAATATTTTTTAAAAAGCATCACATAGTGGGAGACTCAGTAATTTCTGTCCCAGTTGACCTCTCTCATGCCATCCCAGGGAAAAAGAGCGTAATTGCTTTCCTGGCCTCCCCTTTGCCCTCACCGTTTCTACAAGGCCCCCGATCCCCCTGTGCAAGAGGTGACCTGCTCTGTGACCCCTGTCATCTGACTGAGACAAGTCTCTCTCTGGGTGAATAAGGGCTGCAAATGAAGCTACCCTGTGATGCAAATAGGTATAAAATGCACAAGCCTCATAAACAGGAGTTTGGCAATCCTCATCCTCATCTGCATAACTGACACAATTAAGCACATTTTAAATTAAAACCATTATAAAGCCACAAGTCAACAAACATACCACAACTTAATCATCCATATCTCAATATCTCATCACCCATCCTCATCTGAGGTCCCCTTCTTTCTCCACTCTTACATATTTCCCTCTGTCCACCTGCTTCTGTCTCTTTCCTTCAGTGTTCGCCAGTGCTTTTCCTCCTGTGTTTTCCCTCAGTTTCTGCTCATTTGGTTTCCGCTCTCTCCTCCTCTGCTTTCTCCCCTTCTCTCGATTCCTTTCCCTATGCTACTTACTCCCTGAAACTCCCGAAACCTATTTCACTGTCAGTTGCTCTATTTCACTTTCAGTTGCTCTATTTCACTTTCAGTTGCTCTATTTCATTTTCAGTTGCTCTATTTCACTGTCAGTTGCTCTTTCTCACCAATCTTTCTGATTGTTCCCCATCTCCCTATATTTCTCCCTCTTCCTCTCCCATCTCCGTGTCCCCTCTGCTCTCCCTGCCACATTCTTTCTTTCCTGTTACACCCCCTCTGCTCCAATTCACTGGCACCCCCAGCTCCCTAAGCTCTCTTGGTGCTTTTTCTCCCTCTGCTGTCTCCCCATCCCTCCTTTCTGTCCCTGCACTCGGGTCCCCCAACTCTTTTCTTCTAACCACTCTTTCTGTCTGAAGAGCCTGCCCTTTGCTGTCCCCACTTCTGCTCACCAGGGGCCCCTCCTCCCGATCTGCCTCCCCTTCATCTCTCTGGAGCTCCTCCCTTTCCTCTGGCATTTCTGTATTTTCTTCTCTCTTGCCTCACACTCTGTTTCTTTCCAGGTCCCTCCCACATCCTCTATTTTGCCATCTGTTTATGGGCCCCTCACTGATCTTTTCTCTCTCCCACTTTTCTATTTCTCCGTCATACTCCCTGTCTCTCTTTCTCCGGATCCCCTCAGCCCCTCGTCCTGCCGCTTTCCTGGCCTCCCCTTCGCCCTCATCGCTTCCACAAGGCCCCGATCCCCGTGCGGAGGAGGTGACCTTCACTTGCGACCCCTGTCGTCTTCCGTCCTAAATCCCACCCCACTGAAAAGCATGCTCGTCCAGGATATCGGGCGTCTTATTCCATGAGAGGGGCTCTCGAGAGGGCAGTGGAGTCTGCAGAATGCTAGGGCCAGGGCGGGAATCCAGCCTCTAAGGGCCGAGGCGCAAAGCGTTTCAATCCATCTCACAAGTCCATCTCCCAAGACTTTAAAGGCGCGGGGGGGGAGGGGCGGTCCGTGGACGGTTTTAAGCAGGAAAACAACGCGGACAGTGGGGTCTACGCGGCCCGATGGGCGAAACACCACAGGCTGGGACGCCCTCCGAAAGATTTGAACCGGAAACGAATGCGGACCCCGACCCGGCAGCGAAGAGGCCAGGGTTTGGGACGTCTCACCGCGACGCTGGGACTTACCGAGGATAGGAGAGGCGGATCCGGGGATTTTAACGCCCGTAGCGACCCCCAGTCCCCACGCGTGTAGGAGTGTGGGCTGAGACACTCAGGTTTGAACCAGAAACAGCGAAACCCACATACGCCAGGGCGACCTTCCCTCCGCGCCAGCCGCTTCCGGGTCTGCAAGGAACTGCGCATGCGCGCTGCGGGAAAGGGGCGGCTGGGCGGAGCGCTTCCGGCAATGGGCGGGGCGTGAGCAGTTGCCAGGGCGGGGTCGCCGGGGGAGGCGGGGTCGCCGGGGGAGGCGGGGTCGCCGGGGGAGGCGGGGTCGCCGGGGGAGGCGGGGTCGCCGGGCAGGCTGGAGGAGGCTGGGACATGGCGATGGCGGGGGCGGAGCCCACCTGTCTGAGTTTGGAACTGTTTGGATTTAGTTGGTGTCCTGTGGAGCGGGGCTGCTCCCTGCCCACTAAAGTTGATGTTTCGAATTATTTAATGTGAAAGCTTGGAGTTGATGAGCCACTTTGTGGGAAGCTCAGATGTTTACGTTTTAACAAGTTGAAATCGGTTTCAGTGAAAAACTGTTTTGCGAAGGGGCACAGAAGTTTCTCCTGGGAGACAGGAGAGCGGGTCTCCGCAGTCTGGAAACCTGGAGCTGGATATGGAGTTGACGAGGGGGCATGGTTCCATCCAAGAATGTCTCCTGCAATTGGAATTTAATTAAACAGTTTAATTAAGCAAGGAGTCCACTTGTCTTGTGAAGGGAATGTAAATTTGAATGTGCGATGCAAAACACTACCTGTGTGAAAGATGCCCTTTCTTAGGGAGTTCAATCAGAACATTATTTCCATTTCTATTCCCCATTCATCCTGGCTCTGTCCTGGGCTCAGTTCCAGAGACTTTCGCAGGGACAAGACCTGGGCTGTGGGAGGTGGAGGGATCAGGCATGTGATAATTTAGGTCACCAAGTATTTCTTTAAAAAAGTAATAATAATAACTTTAAAAATAGACGTAAGTTGTGTTGTTCTTTACTTGTATCTATTCCACAGTTGAGAAGAGTGATAAACTCAAACAACTTTGAGATGAACTATGACATCATAATTCGTCTGTCAAAATTTCTAAATATAATTTCAAATTCATTTTACATTTATCCAAGAGTAAGTAGAAAGAGTATTTTTAATAAAATCTTGTTTTGTATTTTAGCTCTTTTGTTGGTTTTTATTTCTGATTTATCTGTCAGGTGTGGGTAATAAACTCTGTAATTGTATATATTCATTGGAAGACAATTGAATTTTTTTCAGCCAAAGAATACTTTGCAATATTTCAAGGGGTGTTTGATAAGGATGCCTATTCCCTTTTATATGAACCCTAAAGAAAGTAAGGTTAGATTATCACATTTCCAGTGGTCTCATTTATACTTTCAATATATATATATATTTTTTTTTTGAGGAAGATTAGCCCTGAGGTAATATCTGCCGCCAATCCTCCTCTTTTTGCTGAGGAAGACTGGCCCTGAGCTCACATCCGTGCCCATCTTCCTCTACTTTCTATGTGGGATGCCTGCCACATCATGGCTTGCCAAGCAGTGCCATGTCAGCACCTGGGATCCAAACCAGCGAACCCCAGTCCACCAAGGCCGAATGTGGAACTTAATTGCTGTGCCACCAGCCCTGCCCCTATACTTTCAAAAAATTTTAAGGCAATATTCTAGAGTTAATATTTATATTGAAATATGTTTCTTTTACATTCCTACCTGTGGAAGATTTCTCCCCAGTTAGAATTTCTTGATGAGATAAAGGCATTTTGGATAAAAAGTTTTTAATTTGTATTAAATTTATAAGGTTTCACTGCAGTGTACATTATGTGATATTTCATAAGTTTAAACATTGCTTATAGCCTTTTGATGTTCATTACATTTGAATTACCTAATATTCAGTAAGGCTTGAACATCATTGCTCAGAAAAGTTGTAAGATTTCATTCCAAAATTAATATTCTGATGATCCCTCCAGGATGGAATTTTGGATAAGAACATTGCCACACACCTTGTTTTTTTTTTTAAGATTTCTCTTAGGTATTTATTTACTGATGTTTAGTAATGTTTGACTCTTGGTTAAACAGTTTGCCCTATTCATTATAGTTTTAAGATCTTCCCCAGTATGAATTTCTGCTGATTAATCCTTTTGAAATTCACTACATTTATGAAGTTTTTTCTAATATATAGCTATGTTATTTTGTCATCAATGAAGAATGAATCAAAACCTTGCCATCTTTATTGAAAATGTTGACTTTGACACTAGGAAGAACTCTTTCAAGTTGTAAAACTAAGGAACCATTTTGACAGATTTCTTAACTTGATTGCATTTATAACACGCCTCCTCAGTTTTAAATCTCTACAGTTCACCCAGATAATCCTATTATCAAATCATTCCATGCATTTGTTTCCTGATAATTTAAAAAAATACAGTGTTGGGGATAGATTTGGGGATCTTAGAAGGCAGATTATGTAGATTATGCTATATTATACAATATTGTCCACCAGCCGTGTTGGCACAAAAGAGATTTCAGTATGGACTCCCACATTCACAAGCAAATAAATGAGTGGATGGTGGAACATTTCATCAACCTCAGAACAGTTGGACAGAAGCCTTTTATAAGGTGAAAGTCATGAATTTTGTTTATGGGGAGTTTTGTTGTTTGTAAAGTTTACAAGACAGTGAAATGAATATATTAACCAAAAAAGAGGATATATCCTCAAAGAAAATTTTGACATATATCTCCCTGTAATATCACACAAAACAGATGAAAATTATTAAAGATTATTAAAGAATTCAAAATTGGTAGACTTCAAAAATTGGAAACACACAGGAACTCATTTGACTTTAAAAAACCTAATCACTTCTACATAAATTGCAGTGGAGTTCAACTTTGTCCCCTACTGCCAATAGTTACTGAATAAAATCTGCTTTCACCACTTTAATGTCTGGCAGTGTTTATCTTTGACATCGCCTTTCCAGGGATGTCAGCCAAACCTTCTTGCTTTCCATTGCCCCAGCACCCTTCATCCTCTCGGTCCTCCTTCACTCTCACCTGAATTCCCAGCCATCGGGTTTCCTCAGCTTCCCGTGACCTCCATGATTATCCCAAACCTATAATCCTGCCCTTCTCTCCCAAGCTCTTCAGCCCACTCTTGTCCACTATCCTCCCTAGCTTCCTTCACAGCCTTGCTCCCATTTGGCCCCCCAGTGCTCAATATCCTTCCAGCTCCAGCTCTGATTATGACCCTCACTATGCCTTGCACCACCAGGTAGCCACCCATTATTCTCCATCTCTCCTTTTCTTCAACTCCTCATAGACATTAACTTTCCTGAGCCTTTCACCCATTCCTGCTCCTTATCCACCTTTGCCCATTATCTCACACATCCATTATCCCTTTTGTTCCCATGACACCCTACACACCTAATATCCACAGCATCCACTATCTCATGTAGCCTTAACTTTCTTGCACACCGTATGACCTAGTACCCTTAAACTGACCAGTACACCTTAATCCCTCTGTGACATTAAAAAAGTTGTGCCATTGAACCCTCTGTCCTTTTTGCCCTGTGGAAATTAATAAAAAAAACTTTTAAAAAATTGGGGTTGGAAAGGCCTATAAGAGGAGCTCTCAAGCCCTATCATCTATCATCAGTTATACCAGACAGCAAGTGATAGCTTGCATCTTCAACAAGAAGTACAACCGCTTTACTAGCGAAGGAAGATTTCTCTCCCCACCTGACAACAGCCCAGCCAATAAGAAATTCCACAGCTCAGCCAATGGGAAGCCATTGTTGCCCTGAACTGTCACCTTCCCCTAATGGACTCTGGTTTAGAATAGCCCTTCCCTATGCCCACTTTTTCGTCTATAAAAGCAAGCTCCCTTCCTTTGTGTTATGGGTTTGCCTGTGGTTCACCAGAGCACATATGCCAAATTGCAATTCTATTGGCTATTCTCAAATAAACTCAATTTGAGGGTAAAATAACAGGCAAATTTGCTTTGAAGATGACACCCTCATTTCATATTCCCACCTCTCCAGGATCTCTGCACCCCCATATTCTCCTTATGCCACTTTTTTCTCGTGCTCTCATTCTTGTCCTGCTCTATCACACACTTGTGCACTGTCACTACCCAACACTCTATTTTTCTAAGTGTCTTAACCTAAAGTGATGATGCTCATATCACTTTTTACATTATGGACATTGTAATATCATCCGCATGAGATGGTACAGGAAGGAGAATAAAAGGTAGATCAATAAACGAGGTCTGCAAATGCCGCTATTTCATTCATTTATGAACACAATATCAAGAAACATATGCATATGCTGACTACATAAGTTTGGGTTTTTTGAATGAAAATGAGTTTGAGTTTGCATGAGTACGAGTCATACAGAGTGTCTATTTCTATATAGTTACTCTGTGGATGAGTGTTTGTGGTAGAATGTGTATGTGAGGATGTATTAAGTAGGGCTGTGTGTATGTGACTGTTTATTTCATTGTTTGATGTGTATGCATGTGTGTGATTGCATCATGGTGTGTTTATTGGGGTGGGTGTGTGTACTAGGGGCTGTCCACCGTTATGGTTCTAATAACTGAGTTAGATATTGAGAGACATTTGATAATTGACCTGGATCAAATGTGGAGTTCATTGTAGCAAAACCAAAGATTTAATTTGAATTCGTGTTTTATATTTTATGATTAATTACAAAAGCAATCAGCATTCATTACTAAAAATTTAGAAAAAACAAGTGTGTAGAAGTGTGGCAACCATTCAATGCTCTTGAACTAGGTAAGTAGTATTCATCGGATTATCTTGTTAGTATAGCATGATGGTTAAATGCTCTGTCTTTGCAATCAGTACAGCCAGATTAATTCCCTATTTTGCCCCTAAACAAACTGTGAATTTAAACAAACACTTAACCTCTCTCTTTTTACGTTCTCCTCATCTTTACAATGAAACTAATCGCAGTGTCTGCCTCATAGATTTATGAGGAAAAAGTTAACCTCATGTGTAGCCTTCATGGAAGTTGTCCATACATAATAAATGCTCTTAAAGGTTACAAATTCAATTATGAAAAGCGTGTTAATAAAAGGAAAACTATAAATATTTCTACAGGGAAACTAATGGTAAATGGGGAATATTGGATTTCAGTTGACATGGTAAATGAAGCCGGTGCATCATATTCCCATGCAGGATGCTCTGGCTCTGAAGAAGGTATCAGGCACTGCAAGCCGGCAGAGTGGCCTTCATGGATGTGGCAATAGGATTGATCTTATCACAGACTGTATTTGGAATCCTTGGAAATTTCTCTCTTCTTTACCATTATCTCTTCCTTTACTCCGCTGGACACAGGTTAAGCTCCACTGATTTGAATCTCAAACACTTGGTTGTAGCCAACTCTTTAGTCCTCCTCTCTAAAGGAGTCCCGTGGACAATGGCAGCTTTTGGTTTGAAAGATTTCCTCAATGATATGGGATACAAACTTGTTTTCTATCTTCACAGAGTGGGAATGGGTGCATCCATCAGCAACACCTACCTCTTGAGTATCTTCAAGGCCATCACCATCAGTCCTAGAAACTCCAGAGGGGCAGAACTTAAACAGAAATCTTCCAAGCACATTGGATCTTTTATTTTCTTGTGCTGGATCCTGCACCTGCTGGTAAATATAGTTTTTCCTATGTACATGACCAGCAAATGGAACAACAGAAACATCACAATGAAAACGGATTTCGAATACCGTTCTGGGGCACTTCATAACAAAATCACATAATCACTACATGCAGCATGGCTATCAATCTCTGAGGTTCTGGGCCAGTGGCTCCCATGCTTTCATCCTGTACAGACACATGCAGAGGGTTTGACACATTCATAGAACCAATGTCTCTTCCAAATCCTGCCTAGTCCAGAGCCACCCAAAGCATTCTTTCCCTGGTGATCACCTTTGTGTCTTTTTACACTCTCACCATCATCTTCAAAGTCTGTATTGCTCTTTTTAATAATCCAAGTTGGTCATTACTGAACATCTCTTCCTTAATCAATGGGTGTTTCGCAACTGTCAATGTCAATCACTGGATGTTTCCCTTTCATTCTCATGAGCCATGACTTCAGTGTGCACAGGCTCTGCTTTGTCTGGATAAGGAATACAAAATCTCCTAATCTTACCAGAAATATATAAACTCATGTTTTTGTGTAATGTTTAGTTGTTTATTCACTCATCCTCACAGCTTTGCAAGCACAACTGTGAAACAGTCATATTAGAAGATAATGGTGAACAGGACAGACTATACCTCTGCCCAATGTGTTGTTAGTGTAGCCAAGTTGAATCAGACTCCTAGCAACCCTGTATATATCAGAGTGGAACCTTGCTCAATTTTTTTTTTTGGTGCCGTACTCTCACCTTTCAGCACTTTATCAGACAAGGCTCTATTGCTGTTTGTAGGTGTTCATGGCCAATTGTTTTGAAAGTAGGTGGCCAGGTCCTAATTCCTCATCTTGAAGTTCCACCGAAACCTGTCCACCATGGGTGATCATGCTGGTATGAGAAATACTGGTGGCATAGTTTTCAGCATCCGAGCAATGTGAAGCCACCACACTATGACAACTGACAGATGCCTAGTGTGGATACCCCTGAGAAAAAGAGAGTGCCGTGGCCCTGAGAGCACTGAACCTTAACTACGAGCCCACCCTTCTTCTGAATAATAAATCATAAATAGTAACAGCAATTGTAAATGAAATATTATGTAATTATTATATAAATACTTATATTTTATTAATGTCTGTAGTGGAGTAGTTCAGTGTCTATGAAATAATAAAACAGTAGATCCTGACATAATCTGGATATTGTAAGGATGTCTTTGACGGTATAACTTTCAATTTGGCATAATAAATTTACCCAGAAATTAACTGAGCATGGAATTTCTGGAAGAGTTCCAGGAAAAAGGAATAGCATGTGAGAGGATCATTCAAGAAACTGAAGAAAAAATTTTCTCATAGAATAATGAAGTATTATGGGGTGAAGTTGGAATGGAAATCAGTTTCAGATAGTGGATGTATTGGGGGCCAAGTTATGAAATTTGTATGTCACATTCTTATAGAGACGGTGGCCATTTGACATATAATTATATAGAGGGAGATAAGCACATTTAATTTTGATTTTCATGCGGAAATGGCCAGATTGAACTGGAGTGGGGAAAAAAAGAGTACAACGATTTTTTTTTTTTGAGGAAGATTATCCCTGAGCTAACTACTGCCAGTCCCCCTCTTTTTGCTGAGGAAGACTGGCCCTGAGCTAACATCCATGCCCATCTTCCTCTACTTTATACCTGGGACGCCTACCAAAGCATGGCTTTTGCCAAGCGGTGCCATATCCACACCCAGGATTTGAACCAGCCAACCCCAGGCTGCTGAGAAGCAGAACATGCGAACTTAACTGCTGTGCCACTGGCCGGCCCCTACAATGATGTTTTGGCTGATGTAAAAAATAAAAAAGGTGAGTTTTGACAATTTAGAAAGACATCTTTTTCCTCAGCCTCTCTCCATGCTTTTGGTCTTTCTATTGTTTATCCCATTATCCCTTGCCCTAGTTTGCTGTGGCTAATACTTTTGCTTTTAAATGTTGTATGATTCTCATTGAAGTTTGCAAGAAAATGAGAAAAAACTGTGTGGAATTTGGAAGGCAGAAGTGAAGCAGAAAATGTTAATCTCAGGGGCCCGCTCTGTGGCCGAGCGGTTAAGTTCACATGCTCCACATCGGCGGCCCAGGGTTTAGCAGGTTCAGATTCTGGGCGCGCACACAGCACCACTCATCAGGCAATGCTGAGGTGGCATCCCACATGGCACAACCAGAGACACTCACAACTAGAATATACAACTATGCACTGGGGGGGCTTTCAGGAAAACAAAAAAACTTTAAAAAAGAATTTAAAAAAATATTAATCTCAGGAGAACACAGTGCCCACATAAAGAATTTGCAAACCTCCTCACTAACTCTACCACATATAAGGTAGCCAGAAGCAGTAACTTCTCACACATCCACGACCTTTAGCTTCTCTACCCACCCTGGGACTTCAGAATGTAGGTGCCAGTGACTACCTTTATGATGTACCAGTCTTTCATACATTTCACTGATCAAACTGCTTCCAAATTCTTGCCTTATATAATTTTTACTCTCAAATAATATGTATAGGTTTTCCTGACCAAATAGATTGTTACAATCCCTCAGAATAATACTATGTTTCAAAGTCTAAAAATCTCAATCAACATGACTGTATTGTTTCCACGGTCTACTGGTCCTTTCATCTCATCTCAATAAAAGAGAGATTTTGATAATATTTTACAATCTTTTAGTAAAGGAACTCTGATGCTTAAAAACATTGAACAGATGGGACAACTGGCTATCTACATGGAAAAGAATGAAGCTGGACCCCAACCTCATACTATATACAAAAGTTAATTACAGAACCTATCAAAAAACTCAATGCAAGAACTATAAAATGCTTAGAAGAAAATGTAGGTATAAAACTTCCTGACATTGGATTAAGCAATAGTTTCTTAGATATAACAACAAAAGCAGAAGCAACTCCTCCCCCAAATAGTTTCATCAAAATTTAAAACTCGTGTGTCAAAGGACACTAACAAGAAAGTGAAAAGATAATCCACAAAATGGGAGAAAATGTTCACAAATCATTTACCTGATAAAGGCATTTTATCTAGCATATATAAAGAATTATTCAAACAAATAAGACAACACAATTTAAAAACATGCATTGCAAATGAATAGGTATTTCTCCAAACAAGATATACCAATGGCCACCAACATATGAAAAGAGGCTCAACATCATGAGTCATTAGAGAATGCAAATCAAAACCACTTCACATCTGTTGGGATAGCTATAATCAAAAAGATGGAAAATAACTGTTGATGAGGAAGCGGGAAAATCAAAAGCCTTGTGCATTGCTCGTGGGAATATAAAATGGTGCAGCTGCTTTACAAGTTTGGCAGTTCCTCAGAAAAGATAAAATTGAGTCACCTTATCTTCATGACACAATTCTGCCGGAGTCCAGCTCCAGCAGAGTCCAGGTTTCCTGAGGGATGGACGGTGTCGGCGAATGAGAGGCAGTGAGACTGGAAGAGAGGTTTCCAAGTCTGATTTATTCAAAGCATTCAAGCACTTATATAGGGTCCAGGTCACGCGTTTATGATTTCATGGAATGATCCCAGTACATAATTTTGGCAAACAAAATGGGTCTATAAGCATATCTTGTTATAATATTAGCACAGTATGTCTATGAGAAGCAAGCGACCTTTGTTAATTATAGATATTGACCTTTTCTATATGTCTACTAGGCGTCTAGATGTCTAAGACTGATTGCAAGACGGGGTGTAATGTCTAGACTCAGTTCCCCATGGGTCGAATGGCCCTAAGCCTCTATCTTTATTCCTGTAATAACGAAAGCAGAAGTATTGCAAAGTATAAGGGGACCAAGTACACACAGACCCCCAGCTCCGTCTGATCGAAAGCCACACAGGCACAGTGCTTGGGGTTTCTCTTTTACCATTAACTCTTTTATAGGGTTCCCAATCCTCATGATAATCCCAGTTCCTCTGTGTCAATATATTATGATATTTTTCTGCAACTTTATCAGGGTTACGGGTTGTTTTAGGAGAGTGTACCTTTTGCATATCTTTGCTCCTGGGTGGGTGCCACCATTCACCTCCTGTCCTAACAGGCCTAGGATAATATCTACCTCCCAGAAGGACCTGAGGAGGGAACGTTCTCCTTAGAGGCTGATTATTAGAAGGCTTCCTCCTTGAGGGCTGTCCAAGCTCCTTTCCCGCCTTTCCAGGAGGGAGGGGGTCAGAAGGTTTTTTCCCTTCAGGCTGTCGTTCCCCTGAATCTTCCCCAGAAGGCCAGGTTACATCAGCTTCTTTCCCCTGCGTGGAGAGATTTTCCCCAAGATAGCCCATGCACAGAAAAAGAACAGCAAGAGCAATATTGCTAAGATTAGCAGCATGAGTAGGATCAGGAGCGGCCGACCGCCATCTTCTGAGGTTCCTCCGTGCGTTCCCTCATCTCTCTCCTGGACCTTTGTCCTGGGGTAGAGGCTTAGCTGACTGGTGGGCGGCTCCCGGCACAATTCCATCCCTACACATACACCCAAGAAAACTGAAAATGTATGTCCACCAAAAACAAAAAAGCCTTGTTATTGACTATTCATAAAAGTATTACTTATAATAACTAAAAAGTGGAAGGGGACCAAAGAATTTCATACAATGAAACATTATTTAGTCATAAAAAGGAATCAAGTATTGATACATTTTACAACATGGATGAGCCTTGAAATCATTTTCACTCAAAGATGGTAAACACAGGAGGCCACATAGAGTATTATTTCATTATATGAAATGTCCATGATAGTGACATACATACAGAAATTACATTAGTGGTTTGCCAGGTGTGGGAGTGGGGAGTGCTGAAGTGTATGGGGTTTCTTTTTGGGGTGATGAGAACATTCTGGAGTTAGTGGTGATGGTTTTACAAAATTGTGAGCATAAAAGCCCACTTAATTGAACACTTTTAAGGGGGTAAATATTATGGCATGTGAATTATATATAAATAAAACAAAATTCTAACATATTTACATTGAATTCAGGGAAACATTCCAATCTACTAGCTCTGGCCTACAAGACTTCGGAGACTTAAGGTCCAGTAGCCACCGCAGCAATGAAGATGAGATCACGACGGCAATGATAACGCTAAGAAGGGAAAGAATTTGAGAGAGGACTTTCAGATAAAATGAGCATATTTTTTAACCAAAACTCCTGTGTGACCTTTGGGGTAGCAAGACGTCTCCTGCCTCCCCATCTCAACATTTCAGTTCATCATCTTGTACCATTCCAGTTCTTTAAGTAAAGACATAAAGGAACCTTTTTCTTCACATTCATAGAGCATCTACTTTGTACCTATCATTGTCCTATAAGCATTTTTATGTTGTAAAAGTTTCAAAACAACTCCTTTGTTTACGTATTCTCCCATTTTTTTTTTTTTTTTTACTAACTATGGGGATGAAATGTAAATTAAATATATAAATTTGCTTAAAAGGTGCATGGAAAAAAGGTGTAAGGAAAAATTCTATAAGAAAACAAAAATGAATTTTAACACAGTTGAAAAGGAACAATGAACCTTAAGGCATACTACCATAGTCTCAAACTGAGATTTTTATAGCCTTGGAAAAGTTACTTTCCTAGTAAAACTATTAAATCATATTTACTGTCTGATAAACGCCTCTATACATTTTCATGAAACTACTGTACAAATATCACAGTTTAACAGTATTGCACAAACACTTTCAACAATCGTATTGTATAAAGGATCCTATACGTGCAGCAGAAAAGGATGTGTATACAGTTATTAGCATGAGGAAAACTGATCTTCCCCAACCAAGGAGTGAAAAACTTCAAGAGTAAGAGTAAAAATTCAGTGTTCAATTAAAGTCTGACTTCATTTTTTATTATTTGATTACTAACAGCTTTTATAAGTCTCCCATCCCTCTTTCCATTCTAACTCACAGGTGGGCAAGCTGGTTAGAAAGCCTGCGTGCTCCCTTCTTTGGCGGTGGTGGAAACTTTTAAACCATATTCAGGTACCCTCTCCTCGCACCCCCAACCCCAACCACCATAAAAACCCCATACCAACAAACCTGGAGAAAAGGGCCCTTAATGCATTCATCATGACGAGTTAGAGCAGAATTTTACATCTATTACATATCATTCATCATACTCTCAAGTTTTTATACCATACTGTATCACAAAGTCAGGCTTCTCGTTCTTTCAGGAAACTGGACATAAGTGAACCTCAGCTAATGAAGCGTGCCCTTTCTTCTCACTAAACCCTTCCTGGAGACTTTCCTGGTGATATATAAACAGACTGTAATGAAGGCACAATAGGAACAAGTTTCAAACCTCAGGTTGAAAATCATCAAGAGTAATGTAGCCTTTTTAAGACACTTCAAATAATTAAATATTTAATAAAATGTAAGTAACAGGACCTTTCCACAGGTATCCTTGTAACTTTGCCAGGATAGGTTGTATGATTTTGATTTTTAATTACCATGTAGAATTTAACTTGAATAATCCTTGAGAAGAACTCGTAGACTTAGTTTCCTCTGGTATGAATTATCCGATGCGTAGCCTGTTGTGAGAAATTGTTAAACAATTTATCACATTCATTACATTTTTACGGTTTCTCTACAATATGAATTCTTTGGTGAATCCTTAGGTCAGACCATTGTCTAACGATCTTGCCACGTCAACAACCTTTTGATGTTTTCTCTCCAATATGAATTCTCTCACAAGCTGAAAGGTGTAAACATTTCATAAAATCTTCACATATTCATTTCATTTATAAGGTTTCCCTCCAGTAGGAACTCTAATATTACATAAGGCTTGATCTTCAGAAAAACGCTCTGCCATACCCATCACATTTATGTGGTTTCTTTCAAAGATGTACATTTCGATGCCTAGCTAAAATGTGAGACTTGGTTAGAGGCTTTGCCAAATACGTGACTTTTATTGTTTCTGTTCAAACTGTATGGATTCTTTGATGTTAAGGAAGGTTTGAACATATATTAAAGGTTTTGCCACACACCTCTGTGAGGTTTCTCTCCACTGCAATTTTCTGATTACCCCCAATGCTTGATCTTTGGATAAAACCCTTGCCACACATATTGGGTTTACAATGTTTCTTTTCAGTGTGCATTCTTTGATGTCTAGTAAGGTTTGCAAATTGGGTAAAGGCCTTGTCACACTCACTACATTTGTAAGGCTTCTCCCCAGTATGGATTGTCTGATGACGGGTAAGGCTTGAACACACATTAAAGGCTTTGCCACACACATTGCATTTGTATGGCTTCTCTCCAGTATGAATTATTTGATGTATGACAAGGTTAGAGGACTGGTTAAAGGCTTTGCCACATTCTTTACACGAGTAAGGCTTCTCTCCACTATGGATTCTCGTATGTTGAGTAAGGCTTGAACGCTCCATAAAGGCTTTGCCACACTCATTACATTTATAAGGTTTCTCTCCTGTATGAGTTCTCTGATGAATTGTAAGATTTGAATGTTGACTACAGACCTTGCCACACACGTTACATTTATAAGGTTTCTCTCCAGTATGGATTCTCTGGTGTCTAGTGAGGTGTGAGATGCGGCTGAAGGATTTGTCACACTCACTACATTTGTAAGGCCTCTGCCCAGAATGAATTCTCTGATGATTAGTGAGATTCGAGCTTCCTCTGAAAGTCTTCCCACACTCATTACATTTATAAGGTTTCTCTCCTGTATGAATTCTCTGATGACTTAGAAGATTTGAATGTTGACTACAGACCTTGCCACACATGTTACATTTATAAGGTTTCTCTCCAGTATGGATTCTCTGGTGTCTAGTGAGGTGTGAGATGCGGTTGAAGGATTTGTCACACTCACTACATTTGTAAGGCCTCTGCCCAGAATGAATTCTCTGATGATTAGTGAGATTCAAGCTTCCTCTGAAAGTCTTCCCACACTCATTACATTTATAAGGTTTCTCTCCAGTATGGATTCTCTTATGCTGAGTAAGGCTTGAACGCTCGGACAAGGCTTTGCCACACTCATTACATTTGTAAGGTCTCTCCCCAGTATGGATTTTCTGATGACTTGCAAGATTTGCATTTTGACTACAGCCCTTGCCACATATATCACATTTATATGGTTTCTCTCTGGTATGGAGTCTCAGATGTCTAGAAAGGTTTGCAAATTGGGTAAATGCTTTGCCACACTCATTACATTTGTAAGGTCTCTGCCCAGAAAGAATTCTCTGGTGACTAGCAAGGTTTGAGCTTTCTCTAAAAGCCTTCTCACAAGCATTGCATTTGTAAGGCTTTTCACTATTTTTCACTGTTTTCTGATGTTGTGTAAGTAATAATGGATACATAAAAATTTTCCCAGAATTATGATGAATGTTGATCTTGATACTAGGAGGAATTCTTTGAAGTTCTGATGCAGAATAACTATTGTTGATAAACTTCTCAACTTGATTACCTTCATGAATTTTCCCTTCAGTTTGGAACTCCTGAAGTTCAGCCAGATGTGACTGAATTCCTAATCCAATCCTATTTTCAAAACATTTTATATACTTGTTTCCTGCATAGGTTATGTTATGTTTCAGTTTTAACAAATATCTTATATATGACTTCTCATGTCTGCTATATTGATAAGTACTTTTTCTTACAGAAACACTCTGCGTTAGAGGGAAATTATTCCAGGATTTGTTATGCGGTTGATCTCTTCCACCAGTGAGATTTTTGTTATGGGCTGTAGTCACTCTTTTGTAATTTGTTTCATAACATCCACACTGACTCTCAAACTCATGCATATTTTGCTCAACTTCCCTGAAATTAAAATCCTTCATGTCGTTTCTTTCATGTTTTTCCATCATCAATGTTTGGAATAATTCTCCTTTGTTAATATCCGCTTTTGGTGATATTTCCTTGATCACACATCTAGCACAGATATCTGAAAGATATAAAGAACCATAGGTTTCCAATTAACTAGAATTGTAAAGTGAATATTTTACAGTGAAAACATAATGTTAGACCAAAAGTAATATGTATAATTACTAAACTTCTCAACCACAGTATGCAAATATCTAGGAATACAAAGGGAATAGGATTCCTCAATAAAAAAGGGTGAATAGATAAAATTATTTTCAAGAAAGCCTAGTTCCAGTACCCTATGATCAAAGCACTCACAGTATGAAAATTTACACAGGCCCTGAAACAAGTGGTATCTTTCTGTTGCCACCCTAAAGTACATATCAACTGGCAGTAGACATTTGGGTGTCTCATATTTGAAGAAAAGCAATATCATATTAATGCATGTCTACTGCATAATTATTGTATCCAATTAAAGGCTAAAACAGCACTATATACTATAATGGAAATCTCTACCAAACATATCTAATAAGATAAATAAATGGCAATCACAATTACAAAATAAAAATAGCACTGGGAAAATAAGGAAGAACTTGATAAAACACTATTGTAAGAATAAAAAAATATTGTTCTGAATTCCTATAATAAAACTATCTCCACTTGTGCAGAACAGGCATTTTGCAACATTAACCATTGGTGCATGACAGTCATAATACATAATAGAAAGTGAAAAGCCATTATATGTAAATCATCATAAAAATGAATCAAACATGTTAGAACCTATGACAAATCCAGAAGCTGAATAATAAGTAAACACAATTATAAACAATTATAATCTACAGAATTCTAAAGTCTTCTTCCTTCAGAACAATATCTTAAGAACCACTGACTTTTGAAATAGTCAGTTCAGTTAAATACATAGTATTTGAAAGACTAAGAAGAGGGGAAGGCAATCAGAAATCAGATTATGATTTCATGCCTGCAGTTAACGGCCAGCAAACAAAGCAATTTCCTCACTATGGAGCAGTCTTTAACTATGCAATTCTGCAGTCACAAAACAGAGAGTGTGTGCTTTGCAAACTTATTAACTAAGGTCAGAGACAACACTGATATGAAACAAACTGCAAAATACAGAGAAAATATAATGCAAGCAAAGGCCAATCTCATACGAACCATAAGAGAAAGTTAAGAAATCTTAGTAAACAAAGGTAAATTTTCAGTCTTTACTAAATTCCCTGCCGTGTTCAAAGCCCTCTAGGCCTCTAATAAGCATTAATTTATTTAAAATTCTTGAGGTAAAAATATCACAATTTTCCATTTAAAAACAATGGGCCTATGGGGTTTATGTATCCAACACTAATTCACACAGAAAGTAAATTTGAGAGCCAAGATTTGAACCTGGGCCTGCAGGTTCTGGCCACATGTTCTTAAGTACTAAACACCCCTGCCTACTCAGAAGGTAGGCACAAAGGTCACAGAAAATCCCAGCAGCATAGACAGAAATCCTTCAAGAAAATTAGAGGAACGGAGCTGTGTCACTAACACTGCTAGTGGGCTATCTCTCTAGCATAATGGCATCTGAGTTATTACTCCCTGAATGGATTGATTTACACTGACTAGACTAAAGTGCTGTCCTCAGCAAGCTGTCTTCTGAAAGAAGAGGGATCTTTGTACAGTGTATGGGGAAGGGGTTGAGGTGGGGAATTCTGAGGAAACTTGGGTGTCCAGGGCTTAAAATTCATATGCTAAGGAACTAAGAGTGTGCTGCATCCAGACCAATGAACAGTCTCATGAAAGGTGGAAGAACACAGCTTGTACTTGCAAATTTACGGGAACATGACTGTGATAGGACAGTAAAAATCCTTAGAAGAGATGAACTGATTTAACAAGTGGCATGATACTGACCCATTCTGTGGTAAATATACTATGGGAAGGGGAAAAATGGAAGAGATTGAAGGGAGTGAGTGGGAGGAATAGAGGCATATCTCTATTCTAATATTTGCCCTGCAATTTATCAAACTGAAACTTACCCTTGGACTTCTCTTTATATGCATATACTCAAGAGAATATATGCCTACACATATATTCCATGAGACGTGTACAAAAATGTTCCTAACAGGTATCAAAAACAAAGTTGTGGAAATGGCCATCAAGGGGAGATGGAACAAATCCACTCTGTACATACACATGCAGATGCAAAGAAACTCTGTCAAGAACACAGCAATGGAGGATGACCCTGAGGCAAGACGAGGAATCGCTGGTGGGGAGGACAAAGAACTTACTGGAGGGAAACAAAGTCAGCAGAAGGCTCTTGTCACGGTCTGAACTTTGGGGTAGATGTGATTACATTAGCTAAAGAGCAATAATATAGTAACCAAATTATTAATTACATAATATATTTTATAAGTAGTAATTTACCAATTTTGGCATCTTAACCTTTTTGAGGCTAAGTGTCCTTGTTTGTTATATAAGAATAATGTTCCTTTTGCTGGCCTCCTCTAATGATCTGAAATTACCTACATGGATCTCTTATCACAATCCCTGGCATAAAGACACACGAGGCGAGGGATGCTCTTACACGATATATATTAGTAGATATATAGTTGTTAATATAAATCAATGGAAATTAATGTGCACTTATCCACAATTAATAACTTCTGACTTCATAAGCATCATCAGAACATAGGCAACCTCAAGGGGAAAATAACTTAACGACCCACAGCAAGAATTGGACTCTACTAAGGGCAGTGTTCACAGCAGAGGACTGGAGAAACAACTTTGGGTGGTGCCAGGCAGGAGATCAATGTGCAGAGAGGTGGTCAGCAACGTAAGCAGCTGACCATGCCAGAGAACAGGAGAGCACTGGGACGCGGGTCAAGGACCAGGTGAACTTTCAATGGAATTCAGTTTAAAACAAGAGGATCTAAACAGCCTTCAAGTGTTAACTAAAGAATATCATGACCAGAACGTTAGAAATTTTATGGAAAACGCAAGTGTTACAAGCAAGAGTGGTGAGCACACACATGGAGTAGAAGAGACTGGCTAAGTTCCCAATAAAATACAATGAGGTATTTAAAAATGAGTTTAGTATACCAAGATGTACATGATGAATCTAGACAGGGAGATTAATTATAGAATAAAGCATGTGTACCAAAATATAAAAAGCCAGTAAAATTAAAATAAAACCCAACAAGTTTATTTGGAAAACTTAAAATATATTATACAAAAAGTAAGGACCTTATACAATAAACTATGACAAATCAATTTAATGGTAATTCCAGGATGAACACGGTAGCTGAATACAAAAAGTATATTCTTAAGATCTGATATTCCCAACGTAAAACATTCAATCAGTGTGAGAAAAACGCACTTTAAGCCAAGGTACTAAATCACGTGAAAGAGAACAAAGAGACTAAGATAATTTTTACATAAAATTCAGAGGTTTGAACAGGTTTTGGGGAAACTGCTGCTGAGCCATAAGCCTGAACACTCAAGAAGGAAATTTCCTTGTAAAATATATAAAGAAATATTCACTACTCAATCCAATAGCCATACAAATGGAAGATATAAAATAGAATTCTGAGTGCCATCAAAAGTATGCAATCAATGATCAAAATTTTTTAGTTCATTTATACTACATGGGAATGCACACAACGAAAACAGTAGTGGCTTAAACCTAACAAATTAGGGTAGAGCTAAAAAATGGAGGCATCCTTTAACTTCATAAGTTCCCTCAATATGATGTATCAAAATTGCACGTGTTTGAAAGAGAATGAACAAGAAAATAAACATGAGATGAATAATTTGGTATGAACGATAATTTGGTCAAAGCCTCACAGACGGAAGGTTGTGACAATGTTCACCCTAGGATAAATCCATATACCTGTGATTGCCAGCTCAAAGGGAATGTTCACTAGGATGTTTGATCAACACTGCCACACTGCCCTTGAGAGACACTGTGACACTCCACAAAAAGCAAAAAGATAACTACAACCACTTATTAATCAGACTCTCATATTTTCTATCTCAGCATCCTAGGATTTGCACTTTCTATCTCAGCATCCTAGAATTTGCTGATAGCTCCACTCAGTGGCCTAAATGGGCACTTCTGTAAGTAACAGGATGACACTGTAACATATTAATCAAAATGTTCTCCTTTAAATACTTTGTTACCCAGTAAACCCCCTCTGTGGGAGAGTATACCAGAAGGTGTCCATTATCTACAAGTGGATTATCATAGCAGAAAAAAGAGGCTGATATTTCAGACCCTAAGAAAGCATAAATTCCAGATGCTAAATTACACAAACTTAACAGAACAGAAAATCTTTAGCAGAACAGAAAATCTTCCAGAGCCGAGGTTTGTCTACATTCAGCATAGGTAGAGTGCCGAAGAAGGCGAAAAAGTTAACATATGGGAGTAAAGTAAGGGAGTCAGATCTGGCAGGGTCCTTGGGAAGGAGCTGTGTGCTCTGCCCATAAATCCTAAGCTGAGTGCCAAAAAGCAGCTGAGATCCGTTCCCCATGTGGGATTAAGGACCAAAGATACAATCTCTTTGTCCACTGTCTCATCTCTACAGTACTGCTGAGTAACGATCTCAGAAGATCCACCCCACTTCCCCATTAAACACTCCTGACATATGGCAAAAGCAGGAGTGAAGCAATGGCTGTGAGGCCTAATGAGGCAGAGAGCCCATGAGGCAGTTCCACGCACTTTCCTGGGACCCAGATGCAATGGAAGAGCAGCCAATGTTTTCCATCTCCTAAGAAGGTCTCCTAAACGTGGGAAATGAGGATGGAACCTGGATAGGTCCTGGAGTCAGGATTACAGAGGAACTGATGGATCAGCTGGAATCAGATGGAATCAAGTACAGAAGGAGAGACCAAAGGGGAAAGTGGACCACTTTGAAACAGCCCATCTCATCCCTCTCAAAGCCAAAAGACCAAAAAAGTCACAGGAGCCAGACAATGGAGAACCGTGGGTCATGACAAAGACTTTGCCTTTGTCTCTGCATCAGCTGGACCACCACTGAAGGTTTGGAAGATAAATTTTTCCATGACTGCAGAGCACAGTAATGGGGGAGATTTCCTTTGACAGCTCACAAGTACTTTTCTTTTCCTATAGACCTTTCCCATTTGGGGAGAGTTTCTCAAACAATATTGGATGAAGTTGCTTCCTCTCTGCCCATCTGAGCTTTTACCTGTATCTTTGATACACTCCCACCTACCTGGCTGTTTCACTATTTTCAACTCGCCCCCTACAGCCCAGGTCACTTGCCTTTGCTCCAAAATGGACATAATATTCAGGTCAGAAAGAGAGAGTCTCGCTTGTAAGAAAAGAGAAACATGATATGCTGGGGCTTTTCTAGAATTTAATCCCAGACCCTTGTTCAGCTAAGAAAGGACATTAAAGATGGGTCTAGAAAAATATTTCAGAAATTTGTCCACTGACTGCCTTCTTCTGAATGCGTAAGGAATATTTTAAATATACAAATACCCAGCTCTCTTCCAAGAATTACTGAATCAAAAGCACAAGGACAAAACCAGGTCATCAGATATTTTTACATTTTGCTACAATGTTTTCTGATTACTTGGGCTCATTAACCTAGCATGAAGCGGGCAGATCATCTGAAGAGAGGGGAAAGTCAAAGTTCAGATGCTGCATCACAAAGCTTTTTATTTCTGAATCGATATGGCTTCAAATTCTTTCTGAAAAACAAGGATCTGAAACTCAGTCAGCAAAGCAGGGCTCCCCAGAGACTCTCAAGGGAAACTGCAAAGATAAATAGGACAGATCCTGACTTCTGGAGGCAGCTCTCCTCACCCAGGGAGAGCAGGTTCCTGTAGTTCTCCAGCATCACGTCCCTGTACAAGGCCCTCTGAGCGGGGTCCAGGCATTCCCACTCCTCTGGCGAGAACTCTATGGCCACGTCCCTGAAAGTCAACAGCACCTGTAAAGAAAAACACAATTTGCCAAGTGGACAGGGGGAGCGTTCTTATCTTCACACGAAATGAGAGGAGAGAGGGGTACGGATTGATTTGGTTGTAGTGAGTGTTTTGACAGATCAGCGTAAGATAATTTTCAGCAAGTCATATAACCCTAATTTTGCATTATTACACTTTCCAACCAGAGGACATAAATCCACAAAATGACTTGTACATTTCACAATTTTGTGGACAATAAAAGAAATATACAAATTAAAAAATTCATTATAAAGTGGTCTATATAGAAGTGCTAGATACTACATTCTACACACCAATAATATTTAGTTTCTCTGATGAGCTAGTGTATGGGTGGTGACTTTAGGAATTATGAAGTCCACAGTGGCTTTAAAGAAAGTTTAGAATCTAAGAATTGTGATGATGACTACGATGGCAGAGACAAAAAGTTTCTGAACACTTACTATGTGCTAAGCATTACTCTAAATGTAATATTATTTCCTGTAATAACATTAGAGAAATATCTGTTCCCACCTTATAAAGGAGATAACTGTGTCACAGAGACTCTAAGAAACTTGCCTCAGGTCAAACAGCTAAGAAATGGCACAGCCAGACCTGAACCAGGTGGTCGGAGCTTAGAATTGAGCCTAAAGAATCAGAGTTAAGTAATAGATGCAGCGTTAAAAGCACATTGGTAGTGGGCTTCCTAAATGAGAAAACCTGAAACAAGTTCAAACCTAATAACATGGAACTGCATAAAAGATCTCAACACGCTCATACACATGCATGCACATAATACATTACTATTCTCACTACTATTAATTCACTACTGTGATAGTGTAGAAAAAAATCCAAGGCCATGGAAAATATGGATGAACACTTTTAAAAGGTTAAAATAAATATAAAAATTATTTATGAAATGATGATATATCTTTTACACACACCATAGATTTCTACTTACACATACACACACACTCTTTCAGTAAAAGCATTTGCCTCTGAATGACAGATGTTTTTGGATGAATTTTTCTATCAATTTTTTATTCATGCGCATTTCAGCATTTTTGGTACAACGAACATTTATAAATCATACTTAATTTTAGTTAGGTTGCTGTCAACATTATTGTATAGTAGCCTACTTAAAAAAAACTACAAAAACAAAAAATATACAGAAAATTTTACCTTCAATCTCCACTAAATACGTATATGTAAATATCAATAAAATTTTATTCATTTACATTTCGATAATCTACCATTAACATAAGCCAAAAGTTTATCCAATAAGAAAACAATGACTGAAGATGAGAAAATTTATTGTTATACATTAACAGGTTAAAATAGAAAAAAATAATTTATGAAAGCAAATCTTTGAGGAAATTCTTGGATAATTAAAAATCATGCCAAATAAAAAATTAAAATTACAAGAAGGGTTAATAAGCAAGAAAATTTCAGCAAACATCATGACTGGCAGTAAACAATGAAAACATTTCCACTACAGATGAGGCTGACACACGGGCTATTACAGGAGGGCTCCCGCCACCCGCCACTGCACATCACGCCTGGGCTGGGCCAGTACAATAGGGAAAATGAGGTAACGTGAAAATAGCGTGTAAGAGTGGGAAACGTTGTCATTCAGAAGACAAGAGAAACCTAGAAAAAGAAGGGTTTTTAACTATAAGAACCATTAACATACTGAAAACAGTTTTTCTTCTTTAGTAATAGTAATTTAAAACAACACAATATGAGAAACAGTCCGCCCTGCCATTAGCAAATATACCGTGACACGTATTTACAGCATATTTCTACAGCTACGTGACGAAATTATGAAGTTTTTCTGAAGGACATTAACAAAAGACAGAAAGTCTGGAAATCACCATTCCTACTTGGAAAATGTGGCGATCGAAAGAGACCTCAGTGATTGCATAAATTCAGAGCAACCCAAACTCAAAAGAAATTAGGGGGATTGCAAATAAAAACTTCTGCTGTATCTAGGAGAGCCAACGCGATTTTGAAAAGAAAAAGTAAACAGAAGCCCACCAAATTACAAATGAAACTATTATTGCAAATACTATCTGAAACTTGAAGATGAATAAAATAGCTACAAGACACCCAATGAATCTCAATCAAAGACAGACTTAAACACAACTTTGAACCATAAAACATTAGGAATAAACGAAACCAAATATGACTTTCACCTGGGAAAGCGTCATTTCTGACTCCTTTCTTTCCTCTGCGTCTGGGCTTCTTTCTCGGCTAAGATCAGTCTTGAGAAGTGAATCCTGAATGTTGACAACAGGCTGTTTAATGCTTAGAATCAACATCCCCTCTTCCTGGGACACAAACACACACACAGGGAGGCCCTCAGCATCCAGAAAAGGCGATTCTCCCCTGCCCACTGCTGCAGGCAGGGTAGACAGCGATTGGGGTAGACGGAGACATACGAGCGAGGTTTTTGGGGTTTTGTAGGTTTTTCTTCCTTGTCCTCAGAGCTCGCTGCCCTCCTGGGATGCCCACACGTCCCGGGGCCGCAGCGCGACCTGGGCAGGACTCACTCTCCCCTTCCAGCCAGAGACGCGGCCCCGACCGAACTCCGCACAGAAGCAGGACCCCTCACCGCTTCCTGGACCAGGGACGAGGAGCGGGAGCTCAGAGGAGCATTTTAAACCAGAAAACGACGCGGCGGTCTCTACTGGAGCGAAAGCAGAACTACTGGCGGGTATGGACTCCAGAGCGAGTGTCACCCGAAACGGACACGGGCTGCCGGGGAACCGGCAGCAGAGCTACGAGGCCTCGGAACGACTCACGGTGACGCCGGGACTCAGCGGGAGAGGGAAGGCGGGGATGGTAATTTTAACGTCCAGAGAGACCCTGGAACCCTGGGTGTGGAAGACACGGGGCTGTGGGGCCCCGAACCACCAGTCTGAAATAGAAAATCCGACCCTCGCTCACCGCAGCGCGTCTGTCGCTCAAATCGACTCACTTCCGGGTTTGGAAGCAATTGCGCACGCGCAGACGAGGGAGGCGGTACAGAGGGCGGGGCGAGGCTGGCAGAGGCGGGATGTGGACAATGGCTGGGAGGGGCAGGAAGTGCTCTGGGGTGTGGGCGGGGTCAACATAGGGGCGGAGCCTGGCCTTCCCTCTCTCTGGCCCTGGCTGCTTGTGAATCTGTTGGCACTTCTGCCCAATGGTGCTGTTTTTCTCTTTTTTGGAAGGAGATTAGCTCTGAGCTAAAATCCGTGGCCAATCCTCCTCTTTTTGCTGAGGAAGATTGGCACATTGGCCCTGAGCTAACGTCTATGCCCATCTTCCTCTACTTTGTATGTGGGCCGCCTGCCTGCAGGGTGGCTTGATAAACGATGGGTATGTGCCTGCCCAGGATCTGAACCAACAAACCCTGGGCTGCTGAAGCGGAGTGCATGAACTTAACTGCTACGCCACTCGGCCAGCCCCTTGTTTCTCTGCTTTTTGATTCCTTTAAATCTCATCGGTTTCTGGTGAAGCAGAGTTGCTTTCTACGTGTTCTAAGTTAATGTTTCAAACAATCTAAGGCAAAAGAGTAGAGTTGTGAAGACTGCTCGTATTGGCAGCTGAGACGCTTTCCTCAAAAACTGAAGGTGGATAAATTCAAAAGCTTTTGGTGCAAATGGTTGGAGATGTGTGTCTTGGCAGTGATGGGAACTGGAATCTGACCACTCGGATGGTCCATTGGGAGGAAGCCTCCGTGATTGCTCTCTCCATGGGCCTGCTTAGGATAGGGCAGCTGGCCTCCTCCAGAGCGAGTGATTCAAGCAAGAAAGAGCGAGCCGGACCAAGATGGAATCCGCAGTGTCTTTTATAACCTAACCCCAGAAATGACATATTGTTACTTCTGCCAGATTCTGTTGGTTACACAAACGATCTCTGCTAATTTCTGTTGCTGCCTCTGCTGCTCAGGAAATCAGTTGTCCTACTTTTCCCACGAACCAATCAGTTCGCAAAAAGCAGGACTTTTCATGATAAAACTGGGAAAGTCCTGGGCAAACTGGGCAAGTTACTTGCACTAGCTGCTGTGCCACTTACTTTCTCGACCATTCTCCACCCTGTCTGGTTTCTCTCTTTCCTTCATCCTCCTCTTTTCCCCACCACCACCCTTCTGTTTTTTCTCCTCCCCTCCTCTCCTTAACTCCATCGCCGTTGCTCTCTTATTCTTCCCGCCTCACCTCTTCTTTCTCTCCTTTTCTACTCTCCCACCTCCACACATTCTGTTTTCTCTTCTCTCCCCTTTCTACTCTCTTCTTCCTATTTCTTCACTTCCAGGTGTGAAGACAGAAGATGGACAACACATTCCTGGACTGGGTCCTGGTGAGAACTTTAGCTCACAAGGAATGGAGAGGCTGTGTCACCCTCAAGTGTGCGCAGCTTGTCAGGTGATGTGGCAGGAAATGAAAAGCTGAATATGAGAATCAAAGTCCTCAAGGGCTCGTCCAGCAGAGAAAACAAAGACAAACAAGGTGAGAGTGGGCAGGCCCTTATGACCTCGGGCCATCCTGGTGCTGCCAATACCTGCAGTTGGAGCCTCCCTGGACTCTTCACAGACATTTACTGCCTGTGGGTATGGGATGGGTGGTCAGTTATTCCATTACTAGGCAACTCATCAACTGATGGAATTAATGAAATAATGTACAGTGTTTCCTTGAGGTCCCCAAACAGAGTAAGGGTGTTAATTGAAGGTGATAAAGGTTCTGCTGACTACAGCAGTCTCCACTGATAGAAATTTGTGAAGGAACGTACCACGGGCTTTGAGACCAGGTTGCAACATGTATTTGGATGGCAGAAATCTCATGCATTAGAAAACAGCCAAAGCTGTGCTTGTTTAGATGCTAAATTTTATCCCTACGTGTGAGGAAAACCCAGCCTTCCAGGAAGCAAGCACACAAAGAGAAAAGTGGTGGCACTGAGGACCCTTTACAATTACAGGTCATTCCCCTGGGGAGAAAGGAGGTGAAGAGTGTGGATGGTGGGGTGGGATTTTTTGGCTCAGAATTCACTAAAACCCTGTTTGTAACTCGAACATGGTGGAGAAATGTGGGAAGGTGATGAGCCTCAATGGCTGTGACACACATTGGGGTCACCGTGGACTTCATCTTTGGACTTCAAGCCTGTGAGAGGACAGGCTTGAGGAACTGAGAATGTTTGTGAAAAACTTCTCTCAGTTGGTAGTTACCAAAAGACAATTACAAGTTTGTAGTTATCATCTCCAAAGAGACCATCACAGACTTTGGGAAAGGCTCTTTCTTTAAGTGCTGGAGGCAGACAGGGTCTTACATGGAAGGAGAAGGAAATACTGAGGTCTGACATGTGAGGGACTGGCAGGGAACCTCATGTGTCTAACTAGATTCTCTGCTCTCCAGAAAAGTTTCCCCCCCCCAAAAGTGAGTTCTTTCATCATCTTCAGACCACTGTGCTATACCATCATTTAATTAATGGCAGAGCAGTGGAAAGAGACAACATACCTGAGAAGGTTTTAAAAGAGACAGATGTCAAAGGAAGAACATGATGACAAAATTGACACTAGAAACTATGTGCTAGACTAGAAACCCACAACTCAATGGCAATGTGATTTGGAAGACTAGGTAATTTGGGCGTTTAGTAGCAAAATATACTATCCCCATGTTCACCCTTCCCCACCACCCCAGTAGGCGTATGAATTATAAATAGAACAATATCCATAGAAAGATAGATGTTTATGAGCTCCTCACTAATAACGCATGGCTTCACAGGCAGGATCAGATGATTTTTACACACCGTTTTTATAATGCCTTCAGCTATGAGATAAGCCAACGTCACTTCCTCAATTCTAGAACATTGAACGGTTCCACCATTGTTTTTTAAGCTGAAAATTTATTTATTTGTTCATTTATTTATTTTCAGTAGGGAGGTTTGTTTTCCTTCATAATTAATTAAGAAATATAAAATATGAGTTCCAATGAATCCTTTGCTTTTTCCTACAAACAAATACACATTTTGATCCAGGTCTAGTATTTAGTGCCCCCGCCCCCATTTCAAAGTGAGGGGTTAAAATCATTGGGTTGGAAACCCCTAGTCTACACACACATACGCACACACTGATTTACACTGTTACACACAGATGCAAGCACACATGTGCATGCACACACACAAATACAGTCACCCACACATACTTAGCCATGTATACACTCACGTACACTTACTTTAATAAACTCACATTCATCTATAGTTCTCCACATATGAGCACATTCACATTATACATGTCTTGGGAGGGCCTGAGCCTTGAACTCACACTTGTATTCTTGGAGAAGCCTGGATTCTAGGCAGATGTTTAAGGCCCAATTTGTTGGAGAAATCAGCTTCTTGGTGTAGTTTTGAGTCCTATATGCAGGGGGAGGGTTATGTTTCATGCGGAGTTTGGATATATGTGAAGCATTTGAGGAGGAAAGTGTAGGAGTACAGGCTCTGTCCACAGCGATTCCAAAAACCTAGCTGAGATCTGGGAGGGAAGGAGTTAAGAAGCTTTTCTGTGCACTTGAGCAAGTTTCTACTGGGAGGGGAGCAGTGTTTCTAATCCAGGACTCATCGCTCAGGACCCATATCTCCAGGAAACCTTCCTGATTCTTCACTCCAGAGCCGTGTTGGAGACTTGAAGACTTCCAAGAATAGACTGGCCAAAAAAAGGGAGGGGGGGGTTGGTGTAGGGACACAGTGTTGGAATAGCATGTATTATAGCCATGTGCAAGACCGTTACTGATGACCCCCCCCACAGTGCAAATGTATAGTCGTGATGGTGAAGCAACTCCAGGTCTCAGATTTTTTGATAATCCACCTGTGCACAGAACAACATGAGAAAGGATCCATATTCCATGATGCCTGTGGTAGCAGGACACAGACATTCAATTTGGACTGTATAAACAGAGAGAGGGTTTGCATCAAGTCATTCCTTTGACAAATGCTATGAAATACGATGTAGCATTTCAGGCAATGAAGTATGAAAATACCTCCTTGGTAGGTGACTGATTGAGGAAAACAATTTGTTGGACACACGCATGTAGATAATATTTGTGTAAATACGTTGTAAGAATATTGTAAAATAATTATGTAAACATGGAAAAGTGCCAGGAGCCGTGGCTGCATCATTTGATCGGCTGTTTGACAGGGTCCAGCCTATTAACGCCGAGGGGTGCAGGGTCGCCCCTTGGTGAAGAATAACCAGCCAGCCCCTCACATAGTTCTGAAACCTGTGCTGCTTCTAATTGCCCCTCATTCCTTTTCCTTTCTTAACCTCCAGTTTTCTCTCCTTTGGGTGGCTGCTTGGGAGGCGCTACCTCCCGGGATAATTAAATATAGTAAGAGAATGTGACCACCTGCAGGTAACTTTCAAGATATTTTTCTGAGAGCTAATTTCGTTTGATGCAGTTAATTAATGGAGGAGCACACATTCCCTTTTGAGACAATCAGAAAGGAATCCTGCCCAGATAAGATGTCGAATTAGGTTTGTAGCCTCCATCTGGTTAATGTTTCCTTCTTCCTCCAGTTCTTTGTCTAAATATATATGCATCGTCCTTCCAAGTTTGCTGGTTAATTGGATGATCAAGAAATATCTATATATTATTCTTGACCTTCTGCTTTCTGTTAAAATGTTATAAAGGTTTTCTCCTAAAAGCAATAAATAATAAATAATTGCTGAGTAGAAGGGTCGAGGGGTGCAGGGATGCCCCTCGGTGAAGAACAGCCGGCCGACACCCCTGATATTTTCTGAAATGTATGCATACTTTCTATCAAGGTTATGACTATACTTGTTTCTGCTTTTTATTCTTGAAGATATATAGTTTAGCTTAGCTTTTCAGCCCTTTACCTTACTAACAAAATGATATTTTCTCCGGGCAGTGTGCTCAAGGGGCTGTTAGCCCTGCCTCCTAAAAGACAAAGGA